ACTCTCTATATGAGTCCGCTCCTCTTGAAAAGGCCATAAAGCGCAGTGCAAAGAGGAATATAGTGGACACAGACAGAGCAGAGACAAGCAGCGGGCCGGGCTTTCACTTCACGGCTCCAGAGGTAGTGAATCAAACTAATGGGTTAAAGACATGAAGACAGATGAGGAGCAATGGTGAGGCCCCCCAAATGTATTCTTATATGATTCCCACATTCATAGTCTCAGTATTGTCCAAATACCAAGCAGGTAATCCAGGTGAAATAGCCGAAACACCACCTAGGTTGATAAAAGTAAAATAAACCTTAACTTTTTAATATATAAAAAAAAAATCATTGCAATAGTCTCATTATTACATAAACAAATTTTGAGTATAGTACATGTGTTGTTAAATAAATTAGCTTCACATTGTTCTTTTTAACTCCTAGTGTCTTACTGTTAATGTTTAGTTTTTTAAAGGCAAAACACAGCTTGGCAGAATCACCAGGCTTCCACGTAACCTGCACTTTGTATTTTATGAAAGTCCCACAGTGCTCCCTGCTGGTCGTAATCGGAACAACATGCCAAACACGCTGGGACACGCTTAGAGGTGCAGCGATGGTTTGTTGTGCATGTTTTGTAGCCTCACGTGAGCTGCTTGAACCTAAAGCCACGTAAAAGTCTGCGTTATCGAGCTCACGGCGAAGATGCAATAAAGATTTGAGTCATGAATGAGAGACACAGAGACGGAGAGGGGGCTGAGAGAAGGAGAACGAGAGACTAACCAACCTGCATGGCCAGTGGGCAACCTCAATAAAAGACAATCTGACTTTTCAGAAGCTATAATAATCAAGATCCACCCACTAAGGCTATGTCTGTGGGGTGGAGGAGGAAATGCACAGTTGTAATTAATAGTACTAAGTGGTGTGTGTGTGTGGTACAGAGGCAGAGCTGGTATGACCTAAAGCATGTCCCAGAGTTAGGTTGGCATAAGCAGAGGATACAGCGCAAAATGGCTTTATTTCTTTATCTCCAGGCCCTCTCCTGATAAGCCAGCCTGCTTCTGCATATACGAGCACTTTCCAATGCTAATCTAGTGTCACAAATGTTAAGCAAAAGACACCAAATGCCACAGAAAATGTCATTGCTCCACCCTTGTCAGTGGCTCATCCAAGGTTTCCATCCCCCTTGTAAACATGTTCAAAGTACACTGATTTGCATGTGCTCCCTGTGTGTGATGGAGAGGGGACCAGTTTGTTGTTTTTCGCCCTTGGGTGGCTGTTTGTGCGCGGAGCAGCGGGGTGGTGCTTATAATCCCATCACTGGAGTCGTTCTGAGGGCCCATAGGACTCACCCCGAGCGTCGACATTTCTGGCATCCGCTGACTCCCTTCCACCAGAGCCCGATTCTCTGCAGCCAAATACACTCAGTGTGGACGGGAACTACAATACACTAGTTCATGGTGTCAGATCTGTGGTTGGGAAATATAAACTTCAACATAACTTCTGTTAATTATAAGAGAGTGGAGCAGTTGTGTTATTTCATTCTTCTAATTAATTTGTTTTCTGGCATAACTTTTCCTCAAATTTAAAAATATCATCTGACCTCTTGTGATAAGTGCAGGAATAAAAAGGGAAGCAGATAGAGAGAGGGCTAGATTTCACTGTTAATTTGTAGAAGGTTATAGAACGGTACAGTTTATTTTGGTAAATTTTATATTATAATCAAAATTACAAAGAGCCAGTACACAATATGCTATTTGGACACACTAGTTCATTGTGTCAGATATGCAATTGGGAAATATAAACTTAAGTGTAACTTCTGTTAGTTCTAATAGAATAGAGCTGTTGTGTTCAAGGCCATTCAAATGAGGCTATGTAAAACTAAAACATGATTTGATATTTTATTCTTGTAATGAATTTGTTATCAGGGACAGCTCTTTCTTTAATTTTAAAATATCATCTGATCTCTTATATTAAGTGCAGGGATAAAAAGAGGAAGGTAGAAAGATTTGATTTTTTAATTGGTATATGATGTCGCTATTCACATTTTGTATTATTTCATCATATTTGAAGACAATACATATTATACTATCTGGACTAGCACTACGATACACTCGTTCATTGTGTCAGATCTGCAGTTGGAAAATATAAACTTCAACATAACTGTTAATTATAAGAGAGTGAAGTAGTTGTGTCAAAGGCCATCCAAATGTCGTTGTCTGTTTGCCTATAAGACATGATTTGTAGTCCAAATACACCTAACTCAGAAATCATTTTAAACAATATTGGGTTCCTTTACAAGTGGCTTCAATTCACACATGCTATACTCACACATGTCCTTGAGTGTCCCTATGCAAACCTGAGATTTATTTGTCTGACTATAAAGTGTTTTGCATGTACTTGCCATTTCCCTGTAAGTACAATATATTAACAAGGGCTGTAAATGTAATAATGATTTAAAGAAGAATAGCCGATCCATTACGATTATTTTGAAGTGTGTTTTTATAGATGTTTAAATAAATCAGGATGTAACATGTTTAATTTGGATCTTACGTTGTATTGCATAAAATCATCTGTGAATAAAACATATTGATAAAATAATATATTTACTTTTGATTTTGATTATTTTTCTTTGGCAAGAGAACTGTGCACCTATGTGTTTGGTAAAAGTGCATAGACATATTGTTATAACCTGGAAACTGAGAATAGAAATACTTTTCATATTCGACTGAAGTGTTTTCTCAATAAGACATTTCCTCATAATTTGACAAAGAAAGGTACCTTATACAGCCAACACAATTCTCCATCTGCTGCCTGTATCTTTAGTGCCAACTCGACATTTCTGCTGGCGGCCATCTTTGCGTTACGAGACTGACCTAACACCAATGTGCAATTTTACCAATGGGCACTGACAGCGTTGGTGTCTACTCTTCACAACCTATACTCATCCTCTTTCTACAAGCATCTGTACTTACAATACTACGATATCTCCTAGGTCATGAGAGGTAACAGAAGCAAGAATACAGCCAGACAAATCAGTGTAACATGTCTTCATATGGGGATAGGACTGGGGCCTTGTTTATGGCTATGCCTGCTCTGCAAGCCCCTCGGCAGTATCCCTGACCCCACCGTAGATTTTCCTTACTAATGTGGCCCCAGATTGTGAATGAGAAAACTCCCAAGGGCAATACAGTTATATAGTCCACTGTAGCATGGGGATCACTGTGCTCAACCCGCCTCAGTCCAGACAAGATGTGGCAGCTTCAAGGCATTTAGTTAAAGGAGATGCTATCAACCGCTGCAGGCAGTTACAATGCCCATAAAACTATGACGTGCTGTGGGCCTATAAATAAACATCAAAAAATTGTAGAAAATACATGGAATTAGCTTTACCTTGTTCCACGGCATCTAATCATTTGTGATAGTCTGTGTAGTCATTCTTCTAATTAATTTGTTTTCTGGGACAGCTTTTTCTCAACAAATTGAGTTTAAAAATATCATCTGTTCTCTTATATTAAGTGCAGAGATAAAAAAAGGGGGAGCAGATAGAGAGATGTGTGCAAAGGAATAAGCGTCAATGGAAATAACAAAACATGCAGTAAAAATATGAGAAAAGAGGCCTAGATATTAAGATGTTAATTTTAATTTCATGTTATAGAGCAGTTCTATTTATTTTTGTTGATTTTGTATTGAAAGAGAAATGTGTGTAAATATCATTTTTTCAACTTTATTTGCATTGCTAGTGCCTTGGGAAATCACAAAAGGTATAATATTAACACTAGTGCAAAATACAACACTATTTGCTTTCATACAGTTCACATTGCAATGAGGTCCAAAGTGTCATTTTAAAAAGTGCATGCAAAAATCTGACTGTTGCTACAAAGAAGAGGCCACATCTCTCTCATTCAGCTCCGGGGCAGATGTGGCTACAGTTTATCACCATGGACTGCCAACTGTATAATTAATTATTACACCAGGAAGGATAGTGCATGCCAAACAAATATGTGATTTAGTTTAGGATGCAGAGCATTTGTTGTTGTTTGAATTATACTATTATACTTGGGACTATATCAATTTAGTTTACCAGCGTTATGCCCAACTTACTAAACCTACTCATCTCAAGTAAACATTGCAGTCTCAGCATGACCCTGGGGAAGCAGTAGTAGACTTCATTTCAGACGTAGGCTACATCTCTCTTCCTTTGCCCCATCTCTTTGTCTCCTTGTCTGTTTTATTGCACTCGCCCCACACACAGTCAATAAAGTCTCCGGTAAAATATGAGTTTGATTTGAATATCCACAGTCACTGACACCACCTGGAGCACGGTCGTCCAGGTGAGCTGTAACAAAGAGGGACCTTCGGGTGACACGGCAGTCCTGCTGTCGCTGTGTGTGATAAACAAGAGAGAGTACAGCTAAAGCCCACTCTTTGACTGACAGGTGACATTTTATTATGGAGAAATGGTAACACAGCAGTATAAATCTAAACAGACAGTGCACATAACACAAAGTCAGTGCACTCACGAGATAGGCAGAGTTAGAAGGGCTATGCTCTAGGACTTCACATTAACTTCAGATATTTTATTGTCATTCCAAATTTAAATAGATACTTTAAAACCAGAGTTACTTGTATTAGGCTACAGTTGGATCGAATTTTACAAAAATATGATCAAAAGACAGGTTATAGAATTTTCCACATATCACATATTTACACATATCACATATATACTTGTCACATATTTATTATATTTGAACATAATTTTGATTGTAAGTAATTATTAATTATTTTAGTAATTTAGTAATTAGTATTATTATTATTATTATTATTATTATTATTATTATTATTATTTTTTTATTTATTTTTTATTTATTATTTTTTTTCAATTATAGACTGTGATTTCAATTCAACGTTGATGCAATATAACGACAGGATGCTATGGTGCGTCTGATTCGTCAGAAGTTCCATCACTCAAACCTTTTATGGGCGGGACTTTGTTATTTCGTCCAATTACGTTACGTTTCTGATGTTCCTCCCTCAGTCAGTCAGAAACATGGCGATACGGGAGCTATCATCGCTGGAGAAGTATTTAGGACTGAAAAAGCCCAACATGTACACCACACAAGGGGACAAAAAGGTGATTTTATAGTGCTGCTATATGTTTAATCTAAATCTTTATTTAGGCGGTGGATAAATAGAAAGTAGCCGTTGAAATTAGCATGATAAGAGACAGCTATGGTCACGCTGAATGCTGAATGGCCATCTGTATTGCTATATTGCTGTATGTATATTGTTCCTCGATTCATTATTACTTCATGTTGTACTTTACATGAAGCGCCCTAGCCCCCTCATTTCTGTATGTGGTTTAATATCAACAACATCAAACGCCAGTAGCTTTATTCCTGCACTCAGCACAATAGAAATAGTACCATGCTTTGCGCATGCGCTCAGCAGCATCGGGTGGAGTTGACCACAAATGACCAGTAAGGGTGTCAAATTAAGATATGTAACTACTATAAGTAGACTGAAGTCGAGCCACTTTAGATTGATCTGAAATCAAAAGTGACATTTTTTGCTCTGAAACTACACAATCACATCTTATTTACATCTTCAGACATAGAATGTAAACCACTGAATAATGTGTTGTATATGTTTTTCTTCCCAGGTCCCTGTGTTACAGAGCAATAATTTCTCTCCTCTCGTTGGACTAGTGACTGTAGCTTGTCATCTGGTGAAGGAGGCCAAGCGCCCTGACCTGCTAGGGGACGGGGCAGAGGGCAGGGCAGTGGTGCAGCAGTGGTTAGAATACAGGGTCACCAAACTGGATGACTGCAGCAAAGAAGACATCAGAACTATCCTTAAGGTATGAGCTAGAGACATGCACCTTGGGCACTAATTCACATTAACTTATTATTATACACAGCATTGTACACAGCATCTCAAGGGGAAACATTTTTTTACACTTCCTCACCTAAACTTTGTTGTGTGAGTTGGCCTTGTTAAGATATTAGAGAAGGAGCAGTCTGATGTATGGCCCTACAGTGACATGGCCACACGCGACAGAGAAAAGACCCTTAATGTGCCTGACACCAGTCAGTGTGAAATGGATCTGCTGGCTCTGTGGGCAGGAGCTGGGTGCCTCTTGGCCGTGTTTTGTCAGTGTTGTATGTGTGTGTGTGTTTGTATGTGTATATGTTTTGTATGTGTGTTTGTGCACTTCACAGCAGGGCACAGTGTTGTGGCACGGCTGTGGTCTCACACTGAGGACCAGCATGTTTTCTGGACAGGCCTTTTAAATATTTTAATGGTGCCACTTACAGAAGGAAGTCGCCCTGAGCGGGTCATCTCTGGTGCCTAGTGCCCCCTGTCCTGTCCTGCTGCTGCAGCCATGTCCTTAACACTTGTCTTTTAAACACGCAGTCAGCTCCCATTAAAGCATCCAGGAATAAAAACTGTCAACTGTAACTGTCTCACCCCAGGAAACAAAATGCTCAAACTCATCTGTGTCCAAAGGAGACATTTGTTTTTGAAGTAAACGTCTTGCGTCTCATTTAAAGTGACATTAAATCAGAAGACATCTGAGGAAAACCTGCCTTAGTTAGAAGGATGTCGGGCTGTTTTCTAAGTATTTATAAGTGGTTTAAATCCAACAAGATGAAGTCTTTTTTCTCTGAAAATTGTTGTAAATAATTTCTGAAATCATTGTACACCACTTAACCTTTTTTACCGTGTGTTTAGCGTCTTGTAGCAGTTCACTGAGACATAGGCAGGTAGAGCTCTGGAGCTCCATGTGCTGCAGCCAGAAGGACAGTGGCCTCTGTCTGATGCTTGACTGGGCTTCAGCTCTGTAGCTGTAGGCAAAGCAAAGCAAGGATCTGATTGTAGAAAGAGGAAGTCTGCAGTCTTCATGCCTTGTTTGGCATCACCCACTCTTGCTGCACAATAACTCCATTTGCCCCCAAGAAGCTCTGTGTGCGTGGAGTGTTCTTCACACAATGTACAAGTGCTAAGATGGTCCCGTCCCCTGGGACCAGCCACGCCATGCACCACTTTGCATGGGCCCAAGAAACATGGAGTTTAGGACAGCTTCATTTGATCTGAAAGAGTTTAGTCATTTGGTAAAGAATAAACAGCTTGTTTTGTAGAGCATCTGGGCTGAGTCTCTCCTCATGAGCAGACGATGTCCCCCTCAGGTTACATATTATTCACATACGCACAGCACAAATGCATGCTGGGATGCACGCGCCTATACCTTACATACACTTACACATGCGACTTTGTCCAGTGAGCTCTATGCTCTCTTTAGATACATATGGCTCTTACAATACATGCACTGTGTGCTCCATTTCACTTTATATGCTTGTTTTGTTTTGGGGTTTTTTGCAGGAACTAAACGCCTACCTAGAAGACAAGGTTTACTTTGCGGGACACCAGATCACCTTAGCTGATATCTTCATGTACTATGGAACACATTCACTCATCGTAAGTTTCCATTCAACCCAAGCTTTTGGAAATGTTTTTGACAAAGTCTGAGATCTGTTTCCTTTTTTTAGACTTCTTAAATTCCCATCTTTTACATGGTCTCAAAAGTGTTCCCACCACTAAAAAAGATCACGTCAACCCTCTGCGTTCTTATCCAATTCAGTTTTCTCTATCAGCACTTAGTTAAGTCCAACCACAACTTTAATAGGCAATTTGTCACAGCGCATCACACACAATTAGACCAGTCATATGGCCAAAGGGCGCTGGGTACGACTTGGCTCTAAATGCACGGTTTGTAAACACATTCTCACTTGTCTTCAGAGAAATAAAATGATGTGGCACAAAGTGATATCTTGAGCATCCGACCAGGGACAAGTAAATTTGTTTCGCCTTGCAGGATGAAAAAGTCCGCTCCGAATCTGTAAAGACGGACGGAGGGAGAGATCACATGTTACACTATGTCAGTGTTAGTGGCAGGAACGAGCGGCTGCCCTGTGCCACCAGGCAGAGGGCGTCACTTCAGTTTGTGATCAGTGGCGTTTTTAACCTCCGGGGGGCAGAGGTCAGATGGTCAGACCCTCCACCAGTCTCTGCCCTGTTGTTCAATTTACCAAAAACAAGATGTGAACATTAAACTGACTGATGCTGGAATCCGATTAAAAGTTGTGGCTGGTCTTAATTGAGTAAAGCATTAATAAACAGGCCACTACTTGATACTACTGTTATGAACTTTTGACACACTTATTTACTGTTGACCAATATATAATTATGGACGCTTATAACTGTAGCATATACAACTATAAAACCTAACCTCATGTAGAACAGACAATGAAATTATTGAGACTGAATTGTCATAAAAATGCCTAAAAATACCGTCATGGTTTCATTGACCACACCTTTTTACATTACATTTATTTTTAGGATCAACATTAGAATGACCATTGGATTCCTTGAGTCTAGTATATATGTTAGAACTTTTCAGCCATTTCTTTTATTATTTGTGTTGGTATACAAGTGGTTTTGTCTTTATTCTTTTTGCTGCATATTAAAAAAATGTGTGATCTTGATCTGTGGAAGTTGCTATTGTACATACTTAAAGATTCACTGTGTAGCATTTCTAGTTTAGGCTATACCACCTGGCAAAACTATAACATCTCCATGTAGGTAGCAGATCCTCCACCAGAAACGCTGCACAATTCACCTTTAACGCACCTAACAAACTTTACCTTACTTGACTAATAACCAACTACTCTTGTTTTGTCTCCCTTATCCAGGTGGACATGAGTATCCAGGAGAGAGAGCAGTTTGTGAACGTGACGCGGTGGTTTGATCACGTCCAGCATGTCCGCGGGCTCAGACATCACCTGTCCCTCGTCTCTGTACTCCGAAACAGGATCTACACAAGCAGGCACCATTAAGACTCAACCTGGGCACAACCATGCATCTTCTCAGCTCTTAGGTCCACACAAGCCATGTCTGCAACTCAAAGTCAAGAGATTTTTTTTGTTACACTTCATAATAGCGAGACCTTAATTAGCCTTAAAAAAGCATGAACAAAGATACTAAACAAATAGTTTATTAAGATTGATTCAGGCTTTGTATCTACTTAAGCATACATTAAAAACATAGACCGTATATAAATGGACATAGCTAATCCACCAACTGCTATGTTCCAAATGTAAGTGAGCTTGGGCATGTTTCTGGCTCCATCAACTCCATAACTGCTCATTTTGGTCTTAAAATGTTTGGATTAACCCACTCTACATGATCCTGTTTTTATAATCACTTCTTATTCCTAATATGCTGCCCTACAAAGGCAAAATACCTTAACTTGCCAGAGTGTGAAACTGAGAAAAATGACTTCCAAATTTCAAAGCCATGGTTTCTCATATGGTTTTGAATATTACAGTTGTCATATTTTCTCGTTAAAACAATCAAACAGGCCCGCAATATTTATTCACATGATAAAGGAGGTCTCAAAATATCCCCAAAATGACATTAATACAATTTTTACCAAACATGATGTTACAGTGTTCTGCCTTTGTAGGGCAGTATGAATCTCTGCCCCAAATTTGCCCCTATAACTGGCAGCCTCAGTGAGCTTCATCTGACTGGAGCCGAATGCGGTCACACTCCCTTAGTCCACTTCTTTATACAGTCTATGATTAAAAATAAGAAAAAATAAAAATAGACTGACTGAATATATACAAAATGATGGGCAGAACAAGAGTGTAAAACTTTGATTGCAAAAAGATTATGGTTCAAGTAAGTTTAAAGTGACAGATGTTATAGAGGGTTTATGAGCAAAGGGGAAGAAACTGTTCTTGGTGTGAGGGGAGTGGTTCAAATAGTCTGTGTCCAGGGTGAGAAGGGTCAGCTGTGATTTATATTAAACTATTTGTTCATTATGAATTAAGTCATTCTTCATGCTTTATTAAGAATAATCAAGTGTCGTTATTGTAAAGGATTTTACATTACAATTTCCTTATCCTGCCATCCATGATTTTAGGTTCTTATGTCTGTTAAGCATTTCATCACCCTTAGTACCTCATGGCAATAGTATTTAAGGTACTTCATGCACTAGGGAATCCATGTTAACCATTACAGTGTCTCAAAGCCTAATCAAAAGCTCATTTTAATCTACAATGTCTTATTTTTGATGAATTTAATGTAACATATCAGATGCCAATGGAGCATTAACACAGGGTGGATTTTAAAAGTGTTTGGTTGAGGTTGATAATTTATTCCAAACAATAAATAGCTCAACTTTTTTTTTTTTCACTGAAGTCATTGAATCTCATTGAAAATCTCATTGGCAGTTATTTAGTCTAGGGAATAAATTTATTTAACAAAATACAGAATTATCTCTTTAAAATGTTCAGGTATCTGTGTGTTTGTCTAAATGGATCATGCTGCTAATTCAAATAAAATGTGCTAATATTAATCTGTCTTTTTATTTGTCCAAAAAGTTAGTTTTACATTCAAATTTATACTTTACAAGCCACAATGGTATCAGCATTCATAGTGCTGTGTTGACTTTGTACGTGAACATGATCGCTTATTTGGTTTAGTCATTGCTTCTCTGCCTGGGGACTTGGTCAGTTTCAAACCACACCAAGGTTATAATATTTTTTTGTTTTTTAGCTGTTGTATGCAACTCATAACTCTATTTCCTGGGATTATTATCTATGTGTTCTTGTTCCCAGTGACTTCTCTGTCCCACTTGTCCTGAGCAGTACCAGTCGTGTGGGCAGAGGCAGAGAGCAGTTTGAGAGATCAGAGACGGGCTCCAATCAGACCCACTACCACCACTGTTGATGCTGCGGGCCAGAGGAGAGAGAGAGAGGGAGGGAGGAAAGAGGAAAGTAGAGGGGGAGAGGAAAGGGAGAGAGAGAGGGGGGAGAGGGCAAGCCAACTCACCAGCTGCCACACACATCCAGCCAGCCAAGGCCAGAGTCCGGGCCCCTGGGCGACAGACAGCCACTGTGTGTCATTTCACTGGCTCTCCCACGGGGCGAGCACTGGAGAGAGGAGGCCGTATAGGGGAGAAAAGAGCACCCACGGGCCCCGGGATCCTTCTGTGACATGTGAACAATGATCTGCCTCCGAAAAGCCACTCTGCTGCTTCTGCTGCTGCCGGCGTCAGGCTGCAGACGAGTGTGGTTAAGCACTGTTTTAGGCAAATAAACTTTAGGAATGGTATAAAGGCAATACTATAGACTCTTATAGACACTGAAAATGTAGAGAATTAGTTTTTATTAATAGAAATATTTTTGGTAATTACATGTTCATCTTTTGTTTAGGCCACTTCATAATAGGTAAATGGTCAACAAAACCAACTCTTAAAAAAAGTAATTGATGCCAGGAAAGCATATGTTTACATGATATTTGATCTAAAACGCATATATACTGTTATTTGACAGATTTCTTGCTAGAATGGATGGACTGAGAGAAAACTGAAAACTTAAATTCAGTCATTTTTACAATGTTGTGCCTTATCTAATTAGGATTTTTATTTAGTGGATTATATGATAATAAGTGTATTGGTGGTTTTCAGATTCTATACAGTGATAACAGGACAAGATTATTGGTTACATTGTACTTTTCCATGAAATATCCAAACGGTAAATTCACACATGTTGAACCTGTTTCCGTCAGTGATTAGACTCTAGAATTCACTATATTACAACATCTGCAATTTAACAATGTTAATTTTAACTGCCCCTCATCTGTGTTAAATATTAAACCTACCACTAGCCTAATAACCTGAAAATTATATTTTTTTTGCTTTTTAAAGACCATTTCTACATACACCGGATAAAGCAGAAGAAAATGGATGGATGGATCTCTACATATAAAAATAAATAAATCAAAGCAATTCACAGCTCATGACCCAGACCTCAGATATTTTCACTGCATTCTCTTGTTTCTTCCAGGAATTTGTTTTGCTTAAAAGAAAACAGAAGTATTGTTCATTGGTCACTGGTTTTGTAAGACAGCTCGGCCTGTTTTGTGGCAAGTGTTGAGAAGATGTGAGGGATAAAAACTGCCCGCGGGGTTTGAACAGGCCTTGTGACTCGATGGAGCAGTTTATGGTGTGGTCTGCTGTTAAAGAAGCCCTTGTACTTTGATTATGTTAATATTTGGCTGGAATGTGTCTTTTAAAGCTTAGCGTCAGATTGTTTTCCCAGGTGTAAATGATCAAGCTCTGGCCACTAAACTAATCGTTTTATGAACACTCTGTGCTTCTAAATATTATAATACACATAATGTTCTTTTATAGATTAGTGGTCTGTTTGAGACCTTGAACAAGGTAATATTTGTAGTGAAGGGTGGTCCACTTGCTTGGTCTTCATGGAAATGTTGCTTTGCCTGGAAAGTTACACAGTATGGCATTAAAGTTATCTTTCATTTTTCAGTTACAAAATATCTTTTTTGACATAAAGTACAATATTTTCTTAACTGTGCACAGGATTGCCTCTCCACAGATTATCACTTGCTTGAGATAATATTTAATGCCAAATGGTGGAACATTCAAGGCAAAGTAATAACCATGGAGACAAGCAGGTTGCAGACCCTCCACCAGAAAGTTGCAAAGTGCATCTTGAAACATGGGTTTGATTTCCAAGTAGGCTAACTGCAGTTTTCATTGTACATATATATATTTCCTGTTTATAGGAAGGTAGTACCATAGCACACAAATATTCACAGGTTTTAAGACAGGTGCGGTCCCTATAAAAAGCAACCATAATTGGAACATTTAGAAGCCTTGCATTTTGCTAGGAGTATCTTATGGAAGACCTGTTACTGAAGATGGTACGGCCCCTGAGGTAAAGCACAAGATACTGTAAATATATTAGTCTGTATATAAATGTTTATAGTTGTGAAGTTAAATTCTACCAGTAATGGTCCATAAACGTACATGTCTTACTGGGGAGTAGTCAGTGGCATAAATACACTGGTGAGCCATGGGCGAGCTTTAATTAAATTGATTCAAATGAAATGGAAACAGTGAAAATGCAGATCGTGTTTGCTTCTATACAATACCATAATGAGCTCTGACAGCTACTTATATAAGGCTTTGTTACATTATTAGATACATAACTAATTCAAAATACAGATGCTCCATTTGGCCTTAATTTGCTATTACAGTCTCTGTCACTCAGACCATGTAAGCAACTGCCCATATTTGTATTCTCTATGTTTATCTTTGGACACTTATAGTAAATTGTATTTATAGGGCAATTGTAGACAAACAGTAGGAGGTTTTGGTTTTAGTAAAACATACTCCAGTAATATAGTAGTGCATGCATAGAATTAAAACTAACTAACAAAAAGACCTTAAAACACACATAGGCTAATCCTTAGTTTAGGTAGTTCAGAGCAAACCTATAGCTTTTGAGCTGATAATGGGTCCTCTTGACAAGTTACCAAAACAGCAATGAAGGATGGGTCAATCTGGACAAATGCATCTATAAAATGTACCTTGTGTACCTAAAAAAAGACTTACTGCTGCTGCTAATTGAGCTCTTAGGGCACATTTACAGTCATCTTAGTTTAGTCCTGCTTTGGAACTAGTTTAAATATTAATGTGATTTTATTTAGTCCCATTCCAGGCCTTATTTATTCTTTATTTTGGATCCCCATTAGTTATTACCGCAGCAGTAACTATTCTGCCTGGGGTCCACATAAAACAGAGACAATTATATTCTGTTGTAAAAAATAATAAAGTTTGTTTTACATGCAAACATTGTCATTGCCACATTCAGTTTGCACAAATTTAAAATCACAAGCCTGTCACCTGATATATTTTAACATTTTGACATGGGAATTTCTTTATTAAATATAATTTGTCTGAGTCTAGTCTAGGTTTAGTCCCACTTTAGTTCTAGTTTTGATGTGGCAATTGTATGTAGTATGAACGCCTGTAGGGTCACTTTTTCTGTCTTTCTGACCTTGTCCAGGATCTAAAATCCAGTTCTAGAGCCGCCTCTCCACATGAGCCCTCGTGATCAAACCAAACTCAGAGAAGAGGCCTCAGCAGGTGACCAGACCAGGCCCCAATTAGACCGGACCTTTACCCACAAGAGAGGAGCCCCCCAGGGGAGAGACGCTGTGGTACGACCCAGTCCCACCTCCTGCGTATAAGGTGCCCTCACCCCCTGGCAGCCTATGAACTATTTAAATGATTGTCTGGTGACGAAGAGGGCAGAGATCACTTAGTGGAGGGTTCTGCCAAGTAAAAGTGAAAGAAGTCAGTTTTGTCCATTGATCAGCTAAGAAAAGTGTTTTCATTGTAACCACATTTGTCCTCAGCATTTGGTCCATTATTCACTGTTTTTTTGTTTGTTTTTTCTGAGCCTGGATCTTGCTCAGGATATATTTATGTTGCATCTGCATTGTACAATTTTCTGTACAATTTTTCCTGGTAGTTCTGTGGTCTGGGCTTCATGTAGTGATTGTCAGGCTTCAGTCTTCAGTTGAATATTTTTTTATATCAAAGTTACAACCAATTTATTGTCTGGCAAATCCCAACTGATATCACAGTTATTTACAGTTATCAGTTTGGTCCCACACCGACCATCTCAAGCCCGGCCAAACATGATCGTCCAGTCAGATTAGTTTTTTTCAGTGCCATGTGTGAAATGAAGGAGCTCATTCATTTCACTCACCTCAAATTAGCAGAGATTAGCACTTTGTTGATTTCTACAGAAATCCACAGTGTTTTTCAGCCTCCTGTAATATTTTTTTTTTCCTTTCATGGATGACTCTGATTGACATATCCATCTGTCAATCATTCCCATTTGGGAGATTCTTTGGTGACTAGACTCACATCTTTGTAAAGTATTGGAGAAGTGTGTAATCTTAATCTTAGGCAATGCAGTTTAAGGTTAAGTACTTAAATTTTGAGTTAAAGACTTTCCCTAGTTAACACCCATTGTGTCCATGATTAATTTACGATCAATAATTTATTGGAACCTTAAAATCCAAATATAAGATGTGAAAACTTTATGAATCACTACTTATATCATATTTGAAGACCTTTGAAGTGCCAGGGCTCCTTACTTATCTTTCTCACCCCCAACTCCTGTCCGCTATATGCATGTTACCACAGCCGTCTTAATAGCACCACCTCCCTTCATTACATCTCATTAGGACGTATGATGGGACAGGCCTGTGAGGAGGTGAAGGCCACATTAGCACATGGTGAGCTCTTCTGACACCACAGATCCAAGCAGCTCCACACAGCACATACACACACTGACAGTTGTACCATGCCTCTATAACGCTGGCATCTGATTGTCTGTTGCAATTACACATGTTGGCGCTGAGAGTGGTGCTGAGGAGGAGATGGGGGAGGTGAAGCTAGCCACATGTCTTGTCATAGAAGTAAATGTATTTCACAAACATACACAAGGAAGAATTTGACCTGTCACAATAATT